CTCTTTCTTCTTGTGTTTCAAATGGATGAGCTTCGTATTGATTTTTGCACCCCCCTTCCATGAATGCATAGTAGATTTGACCACTACTGCTTCTAGTTCCTGTAGCTTTAACAGAAGGTGATTTAGGGAAACTAGCATAGCTATTTTATCAAGTAATACTCTTCCTTAATCTTGATTGGAGAAAACTCTCTAAGCACATGCAGAATTTAATACCTATAGATTTACATCTTTGCAATAAAGAACACTTGACTAAGCAGTTTCTGTCACTTCCCAGAGTATACAACAAAAACTAAGGTCCTGATTTTTGTTCACTTTTTTTTTTTTTCTAGCAGGGTATTAAAAATGTTTATTTGTAGACCACCACCCTCTTCAATGATTATATTTAGAGGGTTTTTTTGTATGCTATATATCACTCAACTCCTCCAAGTATACAGTGTGTAGGAGTAACATTTTATAAAAAGATTCTCTGTGGAAATCCCTTGTACCTTAACTCCCTCGACTCTCTAGAATTGATTTTTATTTATAAGTGTTCTTGCAATTTGTGAGTACTAAACTGTCTTCACTTACAGGACCAGTTACTATCGTTGTAAATGACACCATGCACCCAGTTCAACTAAACAGGGTCTACAAGTGTCATCATAACGAATCTATCGAAGCAGAAAATGTTACACAGTCTTTCTGGGATGTCACCCTGCAGGCTTTTGTTCAAAATGGCACAGTCAGTAAAAACGGTGAGTCACTTCGTTGCAATATTAAAGTAATCACGGACAGTGTTAACCAACAGAAATCCTGAAGTAGCAAGATGGCTAGCACTTTTAGTGAATCTTTTTCAAGACTCTAAATACTGGTATAAACATGTGTTTGTCCTAGTTCACTAACTTCTGATCTGGAAACTAGGTTAATACAGTAGGTCTGCTTAGAAGCAGCCTGTATATTACTGAAGACTAGTCAAAGTACTTTACCTGGTAAGATGTTCTTTATTAGAAATAATTTGTATCATTAAGTACACTGATATTTGAGACTTGTTTTAATACTTGGACGAGATCATTAGCATGTCCAAAGCTGCAACAGATTTGGAAATCTCTGTCTGTTTGCATTTTGTCATTGGAAGAAATACTGTTGTTCTGTCCAGGATCTGAGCATGGTTTCTCCCTCTTTAGATGGATGACTTAGCAGTTTGAGGGTTCCATAGCAAGTCAATAAATGTTGCACTTCTCAAAGGCTCAATTTTTCTTTTCTTTTTTTTTCCTCTTTGTAACGCCAGTAATCTAATTTGTAGCTGCTTCTGTCCACTTCATCTCAAAAGATCAAGAGGTATCCATTTATGAGCTGTGCTATTCCGTAACAAACTGTGGCCAGTCCATGTATTCCAGTCTTAACCATGCCTCACTCCCCTCTTCTGCTCTCAGCTCATCTTGATTTGCAAAGCAGTTCTGTCTAAAACACTGCAGTCTTTGGAATATAGTCTGCATTTAATACTAAAGTCTTAACTGTTTGTTTTAAACTGGGTGAGCAGGAGACTCTCTTGCTGGATTTAGAAAGCCAAATACTTCCTCTGCAAATTCTTAGAAGCGGAACTACTAATGAATAAACCCTCTGTAATGTCTCTTGTTAAAATAACAGTTAACAATGTATGCAACTTTTTTTTTTTTTTTAGAGTCTGTCTGTGATGCTGATACACCTACTCTTGCACCCACTTCTGTGTCCCCTGTTGTCAACTTAACTACAGCATCTACCACTTCCTCACCTGCACCAACCACAACTCCCAAACCAGTGGAAAAACCAGTCCCAGGAAACTACTCTCTCAAAAATGGCAATCAGACCTGTTTCCTGGCCACTATGGGGCTGCAGCTGAATGCCTCCCAAGAAAAGGTGCCTCTCCAAAACTTTAAGTGAAACAAGAAAGGTGTTTTGAATATATCCATACTTGTGTACAGCTAGGGTTAGGCATTCCTACTTGTACAACAGCTGTATGAAATTACTATTAGTCTTGTATATGTGACCACTTTATTATACACAGCAGACTGATAGATAGTATCTTGCTTCAAACATTTTAACCCAGTTTAATATAGCAACTTCCTGGGGGAAAAAATTCCTTGAAAACCTGCCATTTCAATGTCCTCTTCATGTTGGGACTTGCAGATGTTCTGCTTCCTGCAGAGGGAGCCCAAGCTTAGGCATCTGATTGCCAGGACTATGCTGCTGTTGGATGCATAAAATAAAGGAATCCTACTCTGTAAGAGCTGAAAGGGGGAGAGCAGACTCGGTGGGAAAAGCGGAACAAATTTAGAAACTTTATTGAATGTTTTTATATATAGCAATATGGCTTTGTACAGATTAAAGAAGTTACAGGATCCCATGCATAGATGCACATAGTTGGAGTATGGTGGTGCAATCCAAGGCATGTAGTTGGTCAAGCAGCCTACACTAACCCAGGATAGAAGGGAATCATAAGAGCAGTACTCGGCCATGAATTGTCATATTTTAAAATAACGTGGTTAGCTGACACTGCATAGTCAGTAGCATGAAGACCAGGAACTAAGCAGCAATGTAGGGAGAACCTTCTGATCAGCAGTAGTAAATAGTCTTTGCATAGTTAAACCCTTTTTGTGACTGACGTATTTGACTCTTAATTTTAGCCTTCTGTGATCAACATTAACCCAAAAACAACCCACGTCACTGGGAGTTGTGGAAATACATCTGCTACTCTGAAACTGAATGATTCCAACAGCAGATTTATTGATTTCGTATTTGTTGTTGTAAGTAACTCGCAGTTGAAACTTTTTTTTTTAAATAGTGCCCGTTCATATTATAAATAATTTAAAGATGCTTTTAAGAGGTGTGTTTTGAAGTCAATGTTATGAGAATTATGGGCAGGGAAACGGTTGGTTAACTGACTGCCGAACTCCTTGGCTTATAAGAATTGTGTAGTATCCAGTAACATCCAATGTACTAAGCATTGTTAGCACTAAGAATTAGCAATACTAGGATTATAAATGCTAAGAATTAGCACTACTGTAGATTTCTTCCAGTTCATGTTTTAAGCTTTAACTATGGAACTTTTATGTATACTTATGTCTGAGAACCCATAAACTGTTCCCACACTTCTTACACTAAAATTTTTTTTTGCCCCTTAAACAGAAAAACACAAGTGCAAATACACAAAGGTTTTATCTAAAAGAAGTGAACATCACGCTATTTGTCTCTACAAATGGTTCTGGTAAGAAATGGCATGAGCTTTAAAGTAACCCCTTCTTGTGGTTCCTGTGTTTTGGCAAAAACCTGCCTGACCTGACTAGGAGCAACTAGTATTAAAGACCTTTTCTGGTCAAGTCAACAATAAGTAGAACCTGCTACAAGAGATAAGCGTAGCTAATTTCTGTTTACCTCTTCCCATGCTAGTTTGCATGTACCTTTCTTTTCCTCTGAAGCTTCTTTAAAGTGCAGTCACTTGCTTTCTGACAACTAAATAGATATACTTTTGGCAAACTTGAAAACTTTTTTTTTTTAAGCCTTTGGGCCTGCAGCAAAAAATAACACTGTGAGCCACTCTTGCTGATGATAAACTACCATATTTGCTGTCATGCAACTCGCGCATATTTTTCTTTTTAAAATTCTTCTAGACCTTCTAAGTAGGAATCTACCCAACTTGGAGGCAGATGGCCAATTTCTTTTTTTTCCCCAGGAGATCATGGGGCCAGCCACCACTTTCACAAGCTAATTTGGGGGGGGTCCACCACTAGTCCTCCCTCCCCCTCACCGCTAACTGTTTGCAAGGGCTGTTCATCATGTGTGCCCCCCCCACCCTTTGCTGCTTCTGAGGAGCCACACTTTATTTTCAGCAAGTTGTACCCCTCCCTGATAGATCTTTGAAGACTTTGCCCAGTTTATTTTTTTTAATCGTGCAATGCCCGACTTTCAGTTTCTGCAAAATTGCATTTCGGTAGATCCTTATTTATAAGACACAAGCTGTCTGAGCCTTCCATACAAAGGGAATGGAAAAGCCAAGCTCCTTCCATCAGTGCTAACTAGAAGTCCTAATTAACATATTTACCCATTCTCAAACCAAGAAGCTTCACTTGAAAATTCTTGCTTGGATTCTGCAGGTCTACTGCTAATGGATTAAGGATATACTACATTTTGAGAAGGGGTTAAAGCTAAAATACTTATGTAACCAGTTTATATTTCTGAAGTGCTGGGAAATTAAACTACTTGAGTGGGGAAGATAGAATAGTGATTGCTTTTTAATTACCTTATTCCTCTAACATGAAACTTGCTAATCTCTAACTGTACTATAGGAAACTAAACTCCATAACTGCCACCTAATCATGCATTTCGGAGGAAATGTAGAGAAACAGTCTCTGTAGCATTCAACTGAGTAGGCTTACGACTTTGGCAATACGCCTCTTTCTTGAACAACTACTTACTTGGGACCAGGTTCAGTTTCCGATCAAGTCTCACTAAATCTAATCTCTTTTTATTTAGAAGTTCTACATGCTGAAAATCACAATCTCAGCAAGTGGGACACCTCCCTGGGCAGTTCCTATATGTGCCAAAAAGAGCAGACTGTTGAAGTCAATGAAGACTTTCAAATACATACTTTTGATGTAAGGGTTCAGCCATTCCTTGTGAAAGAAAACAAGTATTCTACAGGTAAGAATTTAATCCAAATCCAATAGACTCTAGCATGCTCTGAATTCAGGAGTCTGACATTATAAAATGTATCAGATCGGGGTGGAACCAAAAGCCTTGTATATATCAATATAACAGATCCATTGGCTAGTCCTTCATTTATTTATTTTTTTTAAAGCTAAAATGACCCCATCAACATTAACTGGGGGATTAAAGATGTGCTACAGCCTTGCATCATGATAGACAAAAAGACAACTCAATATCAATCTTAAAGCACTATCTTTTAAATAATCTGTCACACAAAATATGTATTTCACACTGCAGTATGGCTAGAGATGCCTTTGTTTCAACATATGGGGCTAAAAATATTAACAGGGTTTTAAATCTTGCATGGGAAAACAGTGTGGGAGAATGTGTTGCCTTTTGAAAGCTGTGAATGTGAGGCTAAATTGTTGAGTGCTAAAGACAACAAGTGTTTCTGCTGGGATGTTGTCTCTTGCTGACATTATTGGAAAACTCTTCCTGGTCTGCCCTGTGAGACCAAGGAACTGTTGTTCCAGGAGAAATGATAAAGGAATTGGAACAAAGCGCTTACTGCAAGGCCTGTGTCGAGGTATGCAGTAAAAAACAGCATTGCTTAGCTTTGGGAAGGGAGAGCTGGGCTACATAAGTATTTTAACTGTTTTGGAGTCTGTCAGTCTACAGACTAGAGATGCACCAATACATTGGTCCAATATCGGATCAGCACCAATATAAAGAAAACTGTCTGTATCGGAAATCGGCCTGATATGGCCAATAATGTGGCCGTGTTTTGTTTTTGTTTTCAAATGGCCCATGCATGTGCAGCTGCAGCGCAGCACATGGGTAGCAAGGAGCATAGCTCGGCAGCTTGAAGAGCAATGTCCAGCTGGTAAGTCTCTGTTGTGGAAGGGAGGTGGGGAAGGTAGACCAAGGCCCCCCGCATGAGGGAGGGAGTGGAGATGGGGCAAGCATTGCCCAACCAGGGCAGGGCAGGACAGCCACAACTCATCTGGGAGGGCATGAGGGTGGAGGGGGCAAGCGCCCCTGGATCTGCACGGGGTGGGGCCAGGGCTGCGCCAGGCTGGGCTCGGGGCAGCCGGTGGCACTGGGAGTGGGCCTATGGGGAGAAGAGGCTGCGGCCACCCCAGAACTCACCATAGTGCCCAGTGCAGCCCTGGCCCCACCCACCCCACGCAGATCTGGGGGCACACCCCCTCCCCCCATGCCCTTCCAGAGGAGCAGCATGAGCAGCAGCGGTAGCTGCCAGGCAAGTGCTGGATGAGCCTCTGGACAAGCAGAGGGGCCCACCCCTGCCTCCCCACACAGCCTGGACAAACTGCAGCTCCATCCTGTGCCTGCCCCACCCTGGCTGGGCAGCGCTTGCCCCAGCCCCACACCCTCCCTCGCTGCAGGGGACCTTAATCTGCTCCCCCACCTCCTCTTCCACCACAACAGACTTACCAGTTCTGCTGGACACTGTTCTTCAAGCTGCTGGGCTGGTATTGGGAATTGGATCAGTGTCGGCTGATACATCTCCTTAAGAATTGGCTATTGGTATTGGCCCCAAAAATCTTTATTGGTGCACCCCTACTACAGACCATTCAGCTTACAGTGGGTTTTTGCAAACATACTTCCAACACTTGCCTTTTAAATTCCTGTTTCAAGTGCAATGAAATGTGACAAAACTGATTAAAAACTGCACCGTAAGCCTACTGAGTAATTAGATTGAACTGCAATTGGCTTTATCCTCTTTTGCCTGTTCCAGTCACTTTGTTTCCCATGCATTCACTAACTGCTGCTTCTACTTTAGCTTTTGATAACCGCATTCACTTCTCTCTAAACCTACCTTGCCTAACTCCAGATGAACTTATGTTCTATTGTGCTTATCTCTTAAGTCTAACTTTTAAGTATTTGCATATCTAATATGAGTTTATTCTGGGCTCTTTCCTGATGCATCTTATTAATGCTTTGTGTTGCTGTAACAACCAGAAATGCCTGCAGTTACTAACGCTTACTAATACAGGTGTTGAAACTCATAAGTTTCATATAGTTCTCTTCCTACGTTATATATCTGTGATATAGTAAATCTGCTTGAAGGTTCAGTTGTGTATTAAGGAAAATAGAGGAGCATTTTTTCCTACCACTCTTCACAACATTGTTTTTGTTTATTCTTTGTCATACCCTTCTTCTCATCTACAGCCCAGGAGTGTTCGCTGGATGATGACACCATTCTTATCCCAATTGTAGTTGGTGCTGCACTTGCTGGCTTGATTGTCATTATAGTGATTGCTTACTTAATTGGCAGAAGAAAAAGCTATGCTGGATATCAAACATTGTGAATCTGAAATGTGATCACTGTTCTGATTTCATCTTAAATGAAGCAAGTGCAAGTTCCCAAATAAAACCCAACTCCTTCAAGTTAACACTTGCCTCGCATAATTAGGTGTGGAGATTTGGAGAAGGTACACTCTTAAGCTTCTCTGAACTAGGAAAAAAAACATAGGCTTCCTAGCTGTCCTGGCACCATCAAAAGTATTTGACAAACTACTAAGTTTTTAAAATTTTGCCTTGCAAAAACTAAAATAATTGGAATTTCTGCCTGCTGCTTTTTTACATGCAATAAATTTAAAGCAGGGAATAGTTGAGAGAGGAAACACTGTCTAATCTGGGTTACTAGCATGATGTGTCAAGCAGCTTTTTAAAACTGCATTGAATTTGTACTTGCTTCTCTCCTGCATTCTTTGGTTGTTGTCATACTTGCAGAGTAACCTGGCTGCATTGGTCACTGTACATCGGACGGACTCAAGCGATCCTTGCTAGTTTAAACAGTGCCTGGTAATTCTTTCCTGGTTCATAGCACCAAATGCCATGCTTTTTGAGCAAGCTTCACTTTTGATTGGCATAGGCAACCAGTCTAACAGACAGTAATTCAGTCCTCTTCGGTTACTGCAGTAGCTCTTTTTTTCTTTTTTCTTTTCTTGAAGCTTGCATATTTAAACAAATGTGAGTTAACTTCATCAGTTGATGGATAAATTGGAACTCTTAAGCCCAGTTTCTAAATAGCTTTAGAAAACTGGTAGGCACAAAGTTTTGATTTACTCATGCACATGACAACGTAATATCCCTTCTTAAGATGATAAATCTAAGGTAGAATTCTACTGAAGTAGTATAGTATTCTTGCTGGCATCAGCTTGGAGAAAAGGGAATAGGAACTTTTATAAAGTATTCCAAGACTCAAAGTGCACTTAACTTTATACTGTACCTTGTACAGAAATTGTCATGTTGCTTTCTTTGAGTGGCGTCTTTAAAGATGCGTTCAGTTTAGTGAGCCAGTGCTAACCGTTGCAACACAGCTGTTCTTAAATCTTCCTATTAAATGATTCTTCACTAATCAAAACTTGCATTGTAACTGTCCAGTACATGGTCAGGTTATATAAATTGATTTGTATAACTTGTGCTTGATTTGTGTGCTGCGTGGCGAGGCATAACTGTGTGCATTTGTGTAGCATTTGTTAATGCATAAAGCGGAGTGAATCTGAGACTGACCCACTACCTTTTCCCTGCTATTTGGAGAAGATAATGGCTTCCAAAGATCTGTAATGCAGTAGGAATATTCTTTTAAACTGCAGTATGTAGACTAACCCTCACTATACAGCCAAGTTTCTCTAGCTGCCTAAGCGATGTGTCATTCTGATGCATGGCATGTGAAAAAAGTAGTCTTTAGAAAAGGTTACATGCGAGTCTGCATATGTAACAACAAATGAACTGCTTGAGCTGGTGACTTAATGAGCATATTATTTCCTGTTAAACTAAAATCCAACCTCAAAACTGGTTTGGAGTTGTCATGTTAACTGATGTTCCAGGGTATACATGGCTGTTTGTGTACAAATACTCAAATTGCGTTGGATCCTTTCAGTAACAAACTGGTCTTTCACAGTGACTTTAATGAGACACTGGCTAAAGTACCAAGAATGAGTGAAGCACTCCTGCCAAAGATATTTACAAGCAAAATTCAAGCTTTAGTCCAACTTAAATTTAAAAAAAAGAGTAAATGAGACTAAAGGAAGCAGAAGCTAGTTTCTGGTTTCAACATTCAATGTTTAATTTTAGATAAATTTGCAAATTGATAGACTTAATATTTAAAAATAAACATCTGCAACTGCAGCAATTTTTATAAAGTTCTGTGTTTAACAGTTCCAGTAACTGATGTTTTATATATGCCAGTTAACTGTTGGTCTGCTTTAGTATATGACACAGATTCCTTCTGTCCCTCTGAGTGTTTGGCCTTTTTAAATCTCGGTATGGCACATCTGAGGGACTGCATACAAGATCCGCGCAAATTCTTCCTCAAGTTCAGTAGAATGAAGTATACCTTTTGAAGGTGTAGACATCCCTGACTTCATATGCCAGGGTGTTTGGTTCAGAGATAAAAATACCTCTGTATCTGGTGTACAGATAACTGGCTTATGTAAACATCTGAATTTTGTCGTCTTCACAGTTAAATAAACCACTAGTTTTCTGTATTGTGTTTCTCTATAGGGACTTGTCAATTTTAATCAACGAATGCTTTAATCAATAAAGATTCTTCCATTTCTTAAGGAAACCTGGTCACTTTTTTTTAATTTAGCTTCTTTATAATAGTTTCCAGTACTATAGAGGTCACTTACTAGGAAAAACTTCCTCTTGATACTGATTCTCTCTGTCCATTTAAATTGGAGGGTCGTCAACTTAATTATCTTAGACCTGCGAGAGGCCTCTACAAAGACCTCTTACGTTTAGTTTTCAACATTTCATTCTGTATTCCCCTGAGGAGGACTTTGGTCCTCAGCCTATAAGTAGCAGACAACTTGAACTACTAATCTAGATATTAAATATCTGATCTAGTTTGTCTGACTCTCTCTCAACTTTTATACTGAGCTGCAATTCTTCTGCCTAACCCAATAGAACCATATGGACGAGCAAAATGCATTGTTTGTAAGCTGGCTATGATCAGCTGATTCTGATCACAACTATGAATGGTTCAGTGTTTCTCAAAGTCCTTCTTTGGGTGGGATCTTTGCAAGTATGAACTGGGTGCACTAACATTGTTTTAACAAAAGTAGGGAAGCAAGGGGCCTTGGTATAGTGTTCTGCTTTTTGTAAGCCATGGGCTGCTGCATAGGTTCATGGCAGGGACAGGGACGGGGAGGGGAGGGGATGCTGTCCTGGGAAGCATCAGCAAAACTGTGCCAAAATAGCTGGAGGTGGCTTTCCTAAGTTCTGATTTGGTCTGCACAGGATGCAGGTCTTACTGTGGAGTACAGCAAAGGTATTGTCATACTAGCATAGTATACCATATAAACTAGGGCTGTCCAACAGGCAGCCCATGAGGGGTTAAGGTGTCGCCTAGCTGCTACTACCCCCTCCCTCCTGCTGCTGCTTGCTGCAGGAAGCTGAGGGGAGTCCAGGGCTGTGAGGATGGGGAAATCATGCCCTAGTGGTAGCACAGTGGTGGGAGCAAGAGTTGGGAGCATCTACCCAACATACCTGGTGCAGGTTGGGTGGCATGTGGCCCCCAGCTTAGAAGTTGGGCAGCCCTAATGTAGACAGTGACGCATATCAGCCCTTAGAAACTTGTAGAGCAGGAAACTCAAAATCTGAAGCTGATCTTTGTCTGATTTGAACTGTTACTCAATATTTGTCTCAAGTTTTGCCTTGTTTACCCTGCGGTCCTGAATTCACTTGTGCTTGCCCCAGCCCTAATTGTCAAAATGAGCAGCTCTGCACACACTGTACTCTGCATTTCAGGAACCTTGTTCTTGTTGCATTTCATCGGGTCTAGCTAGGCCAATCGATGGTTTTACATTACTAATTAACACGAGCAAGAGAAGAAATTAGTCTGCTTGCTTTACTGGCCTAACCTATATAGTACATCAGTTACAGCCATTTTGCCACAGTTGTATTGGTATTATGCCAATCTTTGTTCCCCATCTTAAGTCCTAGGTACTATATGGTAGTTAGTGTCAGCAGTACTTTCCATTCAAGACTCACTAGACATGGACTGCCTTAAACTTGGATTGGTCATCCAAAAATTTAAGAATATTTGTCCCAAAACACTACAAAGCTTTTCTTTCCCCTCCCCCCCCCCCCCCAAAAAAAAAAAAAAAAGTGGGGGGGAGATATTCAGGACTTCCAAAATGGTCTGAAGCTAGGTTACTCAAGGAGAGAAATCTGACTAAAGGGGTTCATGGATCAGCAGCATCCAAGCACCTCATGCTTCTGAGCATCTTTAAAAACAACCCGGATGAGAACATTGTATACAATTTGCACTGCTTAACCTTAATCTTTCTAAATCATCTGGTTGCCCCTAGACATGGGTGATAATTTTTGGAAGAAGACGAATCATTTTATTTGGAAAGCAAAAAGGTTCTTATTAAGAACTAGACAGCTTTCGTTTGCCCAGAATGCTAAAGGAGGAAAAAATGAGGTTCAGAATAAGTGCTTTCTATTGCTTTATTGCTCTGGGAATTCTAACCAATTACTGTAGAGGGCTAAACTCTAGAACTGTAAAAGTAAATGGATGTGACCCTCTGTTTTTTTTTAATGTAATCATTCACAAACCCCTACCATCTGATTTAGAAGTGGGTTTTGGAGATTTGGGCTTGAAACATTAAGTTGGGTATCCAGAAATGGGAGGTGTGACAGTCCTGTTCCTGCAAAATGGGATCCGTTTGAAGGGGAAATGTAGCAGTAAGATGAAGAGGAGGGTGGCTATCTGAACGATGGGGAGGTGGCAGTGTTTAACATGCCTACTTTTTCAAACTTGCCCTTTTTCTACCTAGCGGAAGACTGCAGCCTTGATGTGGACAACTTCATTGTGCCCATAGCAGTGGGAGCAGCTTTGGGAGGATTAGTTATTCTAGTGCTTATGGCTTACTTTGTTGGCCACAAGAAACGCCGTAATGCTGGATATGAACAATTTTAAAAATGGGAAAGCCTTTGTTTTATAAGAAACTTTCTTTTTTAAAGACCCACAAATTGATAACATACACCTCACAGTTAAGGAAACACTTTTTTTTTTTTTCTCATAAAAACTGACCTCTGGCTAAGAAGGCTTACTTTTAAATGTAGCACTACCAACTTGAGTGATTTGGTTTAGTCCACAGCCAATTTAATCGGACTAAATTTTTTTGAGTCTATATTCCAAAAATACCACTTCAGTAATCCTATGATTTTTATGTACACCATGGCATTATGTGAATAAATGTGTAGTTTTGTTCCTACTCTGTGTAAATAGCACTTTAATATTATGTGTTTGCTGTGGCTATCTTCAAGTATTAATGTATGTAATCAATCTATATACTTGCAGCTTATTGATTTTACTATTCGCTGTGCCTTATGTACAGTTGGCTAAATATTAAGGGTGTGTTCCGAGTGCCCATAATAGACTTGTTAAAATTGGATTTCACTTTTGCAGCTTAAGATTCTGTACCTCTAGTCCTCTAAGGGAAATTATTTCAGTATAACTTGCTCTTGCTTTCTTTTAATCTTGTACCAAAGCCAATGCCTACAAAAATACTGTAATCTCTTTGGGCTAGTGCTTAATTAATCTTCTGACTGTCTTTTAACAAAGTGTACTTCAATAGCTGCAAATCAAGAGGAAAAGGGAAGATCACCTAGTCATGTGGCTAGATCCTCTGGGCCAAGCTATAAGATATGTGAAACAGATGGAACTGTTTGCTTTGCTTTTTTTTTAATCTGAGCCTTACTCTTCAAAGGCTTAAATATGCAATAACTGTGCAAGCTCTTCCTTGGGAATATTTGTTATGGAGCTTCATTCTTTCATATTTAGTGATATTAGTTCTCTCTTGGAAGGTAACTTGGACAGTTTTATAAACTTGGATGAAAGGGCATGGATTGAGTGTTTTACATTTTAATTTAATCTTTAGTTCTTCAAGGGACCTTCCAGTAACAACTAACGTCTCCTAATTGTAGCTTAAATGGGCATACTTACTTTTTCTCCCTCCTGTGAAGAGAGGAGGGAGGTATTTTAATACTACATGTAAGTCACCTTTCTTCAGTGTTAAATTAACTTGTCAATATTAATGATCTAAATCTACCATGCAGTAACAAATTGGTCAGTGTTGTCCATTAATTTTTATAAGAAACTCTCTCTTTGTGAAATTTTTTTTTCTTTTAACAATTACTTTTTAAGTAACACACGACTAAAACAAAAGCTGTTTTTTATCTATTGGCTCCTTAAATACTTTTTCAGGATGGGTTCTGATCATTTTCAGGAATAGTTTGCTTCATAATCTTATTCATTTTTCTGAACTTCAGCTGCATGTTTCTTCAGGTTGTCCTGAATTCAAATAAACTTGGTTTTGGTGCCCAAATTTTCTTGTAGTTGTTGCATCTAATCCAATCACATCTCAAGTTCCAGTTTTTCTTTTAAAAGGATGATGGTGGTAATTGGCTATCAAGTTACTGTCTGCCTCAGAGCTAAATTAAGCACAGTAAATCCATTGGATAAAAGCTAAGTCATTGATAGACTGGCTCTGTATAGGCAGGCCTTTAAGCAATAGCTGCTACTTTTTACCCCCATGGTATCTTTTTTTTTAATTTATTTTTTCATGGTATTAAGTGTGTGCATGATACTGCTCTTTTTTTCTTTTTTTCTTTTTTCAAATCTAAAACCAAGTAAAAGTTGTTCTTCAGAACAATTTAATCAGTTCTTCAGAACAATTTAATCCTGCTCTTCAAAATGCTCAAAAACGAGGCAAGATTCAACTCAAAAGATTGATACAGGATGCATATCACCAGGAGGCAGTAACAGCCTTCAGACTGATGAATCTTGCATTTAGTGCTGTTGGTAAACACTGACTTTAGCAAAGTGAAGTCGTACTGGTTCTTCAGCCTTCACGGGGTGTGCAGGTAAACCTCTTTTTTTTTTTTTTTTTTAAAAGGTGCTCTCATTTGTCTGAGGCCTGTAGTTGGTATTGGAGCTGGCTCCCAGTCCTATGTCCGGTCTGAAAGAGACTGTACTAACTCTTTAATAGTGTATATTCCAACACTATACTTCCAGAATACTGTATAACATTAGAGTTGTTTTATGACAATACATGTTGATTTCAACAAGTACTACACAGTTCTCTGAACCTGATGATAACTTTTATCTTTTTCTTGTATCAGATGGATTAAAAAAAATAAAGCTGTACGTGCCAAAGGAATGTCTGTCAGTGTTTTCAGTCTTTCAGTTATGCAGGCATATCTGGTTTTCGCATGGTTTTTAAAGCATTGCTGCTGCCATGTGGATGGCTAAATAGAACTGATGTTTTTCCTTCCTAAATGTTCCCTGTCTTCACTTCAAATTGTACCTTCTGCCTGTAGGCAATTCAATTACTTAAATGTTCAGCCTACCTTGACTCGAAGATGAACAAAGAGTAATCAGCTTAGGCTAAACTTTGTGTGTTGGTGGGAATTGGATGAGAGGAGTTTACAGCAAGTTCCTGTAACTGCAGATGTGTTAGCTCCTCTTTAGGTTTTGGAAGATGTGAGTTTTGGATGCTAGATCCTGGTCACAGTCGGATCTAGAGAGCAGTATAAGAAAAATGTGTACTTCTGTGCTCCTTGTTTGGTCTAATGCTTGGTTTGCTTTACTAATCTTTACTAATTTCCTCTCTCCCTTGCCTTTTTTCTTTCTACAGCTGAAGAGTGCTTTGCTGATTCTGACCTGAACTTTCTTATCCCCATCGCAGTGGGTGTGGCACTTGGCTTCCTTATCATTCTTGTCTTTATCTCTTATATCATTGGAAGAAGGAAAAGTCGTACTGGTTATCAATCTGTGTAATCTTTTCACACTGCCTCTGCTGCTTCCTCCCTCCCCAACAGAAGTAATGGGTTCATGGTTTTCTTTGACTATAAAAACTAAAAACAAAATGGAATAATGTAGTTGTGTGTATAATTGAAAGCAAATGCAGACTCACTTGAAGCTAGTGTATGGCTTTGGAGTAAAGTAATACTGCTCCAGGATGGGAAGCACAGGATTAAGATTAGGACCAATACTTGTTCCCTACAAAGTGTCACTAGGACTGGAGAAAAAGCCTAAGAAAAATGTCCTCTTATTTTCAACATTAATCTTCCTTTTTCCATGAAGGTACTTTCACCTTTTTCTATTCAGCTGCTTACAGTTTATTTAAAAAATGCTGAAATAAAAAAATAGCTAAGTATGAATGTGTTACATAAAAGGATTATATATATATATATATATGCTGTTTGAAAGGAATGCAAAATCCTTTCTGGCCTCCAACTAGAAGCAGATTGCTGCTGCTACCTTATTTCTGTTAATCATTTAGCTGCTTGTTCCCTCGGGTCAGCCTGAATCTCTGGTTTTTCCTTTTGATTCGAAGATGACACTTGGCCTCATGCATCCTAAGTATCTAGCTGGTCTTTGCTTTCTTCCTTCCAACAACTGTATCTAATTTCTCTGGACATGGTACCCTTTTTTTTTTTTTTTTTTTTCTTTTTCTCCCCACCCTGTTTGTTCAGATGAAATTCAGATGAAAGAGGTGATGAGTACTTTCATAAGCTTATCTTAGAATTTAAGATCTTGAGCCATGCCAACATGCTAGGTTGTGGGGGCTAACTAGAGCACTGGCAACACCCTGTCTGTCTAACCACTCCTTGCATGACTGCTGGCAAGCCCTTCAGCTCTGCTAAGCACCTATTTAACATGGGATCTTAACCCATTCTGCTTTTGTGTACACTGCAGGGGCAGAATAATTCAGGGCACTTCTGAGATTTACCTACACATGCACATTTGTAGTGCACCAAAAAGGAGCAAAATTGTAACTTCTTCCTTAGTTTTCTAGTTTCCTGTAGGACCCTAGAGAGGAACTGGTATGCTAATAAAGTCTAATTACATAAGGTAATAACTTTCCTTCCTATTGGAGGCCCACTAATTTACAGATGAACATGTTCAACTGTGGGTAAATGTGTCCTATAAAGCAATAACGATGAAGTAAGCGATGATTTCCCCCTTTTTGATCAACACCACAGACGAAGATGATGCAGGTGAGCTGCTATCTAAAGTTGAGCATTTCATTCTCAGTGTGGCCTTTACAAATATTGCCTTCCAAGAGAGAGAGCTTAGTGAAAGCACAAGTGAGGATTGTCTACAAAGATTGTTCACATACTCCTAACAAAGTTTATTTATTTATTTATTTATTTTTATGGGGGGGGAGGGAGAACATTTTTTTTTTTTTTTCCAATATTCCTTTTCTCAGATGAAAGCTGGTATTTATGTTCATATCTTCAAGATTGTTTTGGGCTTGTCTTGTCCTCACTGCATGATGAACTAATTGTAACTAGCTCAACATGACTCTTGTGGTACAAATGGAGCCCTTCACAAATGAAGCCCTCTTCCCATGGGGTTATAGTTTAACCTTGGTTTATATGGACAATCCAAACAGACCAGTCTGTCACAGCACTGCTCTTACAGCATGTCCTGAATTCTTTGAGTTGCACCTGCCTTCAAAGTGCATCTCCATGATGCCATTTGATGGGTTTCACCCTGACCTTGCTTTCACCAGGCTTCAACCTGAGCTGCTTGTATACTACCCCTTTCATTTCAGCTGGGTTATTTTGTGAAGTGGTGGCAATTTCCTAAAAATCATTGCAAGTACTGCTTTGGACTTTGGAAGTCAAAATAAAGCAAGCACTTTAAGGTTATTACAGCATGAAGAATGATAAGTGGTTCTCTGAATTTGCAAAAGACTGTACAAATCTTCTGATGGAGTCAGATTATGTATATTAAAAATAAAGTTAACTATGATATTTATCTAGTTTTTGCTCAGTGTAAGATCCCTTGATACAAAGAAAAAGTTTTTAAAAGTTAGGCTTCTACGGGGCTGCTTAAATAGCTCGAGCTTGGCAACTGAGGATAGAGATGGGTTGTCCAATCACTTCCAACCACAGGAATGCAGAGTTTACCCTGTACAATCAATCAGTGGATTGCATCAGCTACTTCAGGAAGTTGGAGACATGCTAAACACTTAATTTAAATATGATGTTCACATGTGGTTATGAATGGAAAAATATTTCTGTATAATATAATCTTCTGAACCCTTTCAACTTCTGACGTTGATCTGAATTTGAGGATTGGATTTTTGTTGTGAATCCAATCCTTTGGGCTTGGAGAGAGATCCTGCAAAAAAAAAAAAAAAAAAAAAAAAATCCTGCATTTAGTATAGAAGTAGTCTTATTGGCAGTAAAAGTGCCAGTGCTGTTGTAGAATCCTTGTTACTTACGGAGAGAAAATGTATCGGTATCTTCAGATAATGGGACTCAGCCTCCAGTGCTGCTGCTGGGAGAAGTCATTTCCTGTAAGGATGGCCAAGATGAAGCAGTAGACTTTGCTTTTCAGACTGGATAAAGGTTGATGGCAGGACAGCACTATACAGATGAGGTCAGTATCACTAAGTGAAATGCTTAGTGTTGGAGAAGCGCCTTAGCTGGGTCATCCAGCAGGCCATGGCAGAGCAAGGCATAAAATCCAGGTCTCCTGAGTCCTCATCTAATTCTGTTCTTGATGGCAATTGAAGTAGTTCTACTAACTGGTATTTGGAATATGTGGGGGAGGCCAACACTGTCAGACCTAGATGCCTAAAATAAACATGCTTAAGCATTAACCTTGGTGATTAAAGTTCCTAAGCTGTCAAACACAGAGCCTCCAGATATTCAGCTGCTACCTTGGAAGCTAGGTGTGCTCACATGTCCACCATCCTTTTTTGAACATTTTGGTTAAAGTTGAATATCCTGTACTAGTCCATATTCTCAAGAAACATGGATTAAACCAGGATCCTGTTGTGCTCCTATTATGACTTAATTCTACCTCACTAAAAAGTGGCTTTTTACAAGTAATTGTGGTGGGAAAGCCTGGCTAGAACAGCAAAATTCCATCCTTTGCAGCCTACAGGGGTACTGTATAAATGAAGCAGTCATTTTTGCACAAGGTCTAACTTAGACTTGACTGACATTTGAAAAGAAAAAAACTATTCCCCAGGGACCAGTGAAATGGGCTTTTCAGCATGTATCCCTCAAATATATGTGTGTCACCTGTACCAGGCCCAGCCTCTACCCCCTGTACATCCCATTGTGGTTGAGCAACTACCCAGAAACAATTACCCACTGACAGGTAAACATATGGGAAAGGCATAATGGTGAATTAAAAATAGTCCCTGATAAAGAAGGGCTGAGTAACTCATCATAGCTCCAAGCAATGAAAATGTCTAAGCTCAGACTGCTGGCACGAGAATGTTTCCTCCTGTAGATGGAACATTTATGGAGGCGTGGGAGCCAGCCATGAAACTCTGACTTTACCACAGGAGCTTCTGTAGAACCTGCTCATTATCCCCTTGCATTGTAGCCTGAGAGAAATGCTGATCGCCACACTGCCATGATTCTTCTTGCATGTACAGGCCTCCTGGGTTGCATAGGAACAATGGTCGCAGCGCGCAGAGGGATTCCAGTGGCAGCACTGGATCCCAAGACAGGAATGATCCAGCACTGCAGAAATATGAAGCAGACCTGTAAGAGATTTATGAATGGAGGAAATCCTCCTAAGAGGCTACAGGTTCCTTTGGGGGTGAAGGAATCTCACAAAGGATGACGCTGAACTCTTGTTTATAAATTGACCTCTGCCAAAAAATTACGCAGCTTCTGCAAAGTGTCATAGGCCTAGGAGGAAATGCATGTTACTTCATCTGCAGCCCTACATTACCAGGGCTGAGTTCTCTCATTTGACTAGCTGGGTTGCCTGTGTGTCACCATAGGCATGAGTTGAAAACAATGGAGTTTCAGAGGCAGTTGAAGCCAGAATTTGCAAAAGACAGTAAGAAAAGAATCCATTTCTCTTTTTACCCACTGTGGAAATGTGGCAGAAATCAGCAACTGAAAAGCAAGCTCCAGAGTAGTTCTAGGCTGGAATGACTCTCTTAAGAGGATCAATGAGTTTCTGGCATTCGTGATCAGTTCTGCAGTAGCAGCCCAGAGAGAGCAGACCAGCACGCACAATCAGTCCTGCAGTAACAGATCAGTGTTTCCAGCTTTATACTACTCCCTGACTCTCCATAAACAAACCGCACTGTAGCAGTCCCATGATAACAAGCCACTGTGCACACAGTAAAAAAAAAAAAAAAAGAAAGAGGTTTCAATTTCAGCTTCCCCAGGAGTTGTTATAAACAAGTGTAGACAAAATAAGTCTGTCCAAGCTACGTTGACAGTGCCTGCTCAACCAGTTAGCCAATAACCAGAAGAGTATTAAGAATAAAATCACACTTAGTTTTAATGTAAATGCACTGTAGTCAGCTTAGTTTTTAATAGAAAAATGACTTGTTTATCAAAGATTTAGAGAGACCAAAAAACAGGAAATGATGTCACAGTAAGAAAATAACTGGACTACTTGTACAGGGCAAGGACACCAAAATGCTTTCCTCCATTTAGTCAGTAGCAAAGGTACATGTCTAGAAAAAAATCTTATTAGCTGGACAATACATGTCCTGCTCTGTTCTTGTAACTAATAATAACTCACGTGTAACAAGTTTAATCTCCAGATTTCAAATAAAATGAGTATCCTCAAGAACAGCTTTCATTTTTTTTTAAATGCAATTATTTTTAAGCAATTTCAAATTGTCTTTAGAAATGGGTAACTTCACTGTCATGGGTTTGGAAAGCACCACAGTATTTTGTAGGTCTATGGCACTTCCTAGCCAAGCTACCAAAGTACTTTGCAAACAATAACAAGTTCAGCCTCGCTGCTCCCCCATGAGCTGGTAAGTAGCAGAATCCTCACGTTATCAACGGGGTAACTCGGGCACAAAGACGTGAGAACGATTGCTCACTTGGGGAAGCCAGGAATGAAATTCAAGTCTCTGGACGAGACCATCTTCAAGAAGCAAAGACTGTTTGTTACCTGAAATGTTACTGGCTGACCAATACCATGACTGGCTTGTAAACCTGATCTTCCATTGCCTTGCACATAGGGTCATCATTTGCACCTGGGCAGGTCCAAACACCTGTTCTGCACAAGGTTAAGGGCTGACAGATGGGGGAATTGAGCCAATTGTGTCTAACAAAGGGACTGCTTCAGTTAGTAGCAGCCTGTTCTACCAAGTGCTATAGGTTTCCTAGGCAGACAAGGTTCTTTGGGTAGATATGGTATCTTTTATTAGACCAACTAAATAGTTGGAAAAATTGTTCTTTGCAAACTTTCAGGCATAAACACCCTTCTTCAGGCATAGGGAGAGTCTGTTGTTGTTTTGCGTGCTCTCCTGGGTTTCCTAGGAAGACAAGCTGCTGACTGTGCTCATATCAGTGCTGGCCCATGAAAATGAGCGACTAAGTGTTCTGCTGTGACTCCCTGGCTTTCAGGGGCATTATTCACTGTGCTCTCCCTGGCACTGGGGAGACAAGGACTTGAAATATTTGGGGGCCCCCAGTTGTCCTGAGAAGCTGTACTCTTCATGGCCACGTGAGAGATACAGACTCCTTTCCTGCCCTGGGCCTTGCACCATTTCCCATCAATCTCTTCCTGCCATTGTGACAGAGGGGGCAAGCAGGGAACAGCCCTTTTCAGGCTTCCTGAGTCTAGTGATCTCAGTAAAGTGTCTTGGGGAGACATGGGAAAAAGGACATGAAAGAGGAAAAACGTGCTTATCCTCCCAGCTCGGTTGCGGGACCAGAATCAGTTAGGAAGATTCTTAAATGCCAGTTCTGCCTTAGGCTGTTGCTTTTGTTGTCTTGTATGTATCAAAAAATGTTTGAGCCTGCTCCCTCAAATGTTCCAGTACAGAGCTAGGCTCAAGTTATTTTGAGACTGAACACCTTATTTGATTTTTTTTTTTAATTATTGTTTTTACACATGTAATTCAAGGTTGTCTTTACATTTCTTTTTTTAAATGGGAGCATGGAGTACCCTGCAGTATTGATTAATTATCATCTTGTTTGTTTCTTATGAGAAATATGCTTAAAACTATAAAGAAAAATAAAGTCACAATCCTAGGGAAATAATGTTAAAATATCCAAAAAGTAGTTAAGATTAAAATGGACCTATTTGAGCAGGGCCTCTACCTATGGTTACCAGATTTGTATTTTTACTGCTAAAATGGTTTAGGTCAGGCCTTTACATTTAGAAAATGTAGTTTATCAGTTTGAATATTGCATGACAAATTGTCATTAGCTATAAAAAGAAAAAAAAAAAAAAATCAAATAAAGACCTGTCTACCAAAAGACTTCCAAAACAAACTTGTCTGTTTTTAACAGAAGTGTCCTGCGTTCTGCTGTTATTCTTTTTAAAAAGAGAAAAACATGTTTGCCATAAACAAAGTGCCCAGTGAACATTTCGAGTGACTACATGCCAATGTTGAATGTGAAGACGATGCGCCCCAGGAAGCGGTCGTTGTGAACATCATTCACAATGCCTTTCCCGTTCAGTTTGCACTGAATGGGGACAAAGTAATTCTTCCTCACATCTGTAAAGTGCATAGCCACCAGTGGGGATGTGTAGTTGACCTGAAAAGGGGAAACATTGGAGAAGCACAACTTGAATAAGCAAGATACAGACAGTTGCATGCCATGGCACACTGCTAAGAATAAGAATCCACATCCTCAGTTGATGTAAATTGGCTCAGCTCTTTTGAATCCACTAAGATCAGTATTTGTCTGTCAATCTGGACGTGTGTGTTCTGCCCGAGTGTAACCTGTTTCTTAGGTTCATTTGCCAGGGGTGGGAATAATGGCTAATGAAGTTTAATAAAAAAAGTTTTCTGTCAGCTTAAGGTGTTGATCTCTAGCCTGTAATAAAAAGGAGTAAAGTTCCTTTTGCCTGGTGTGTCCAAGATCCATGCTCTTGTAAAGCCCTAGAACTCAGCAGCAAGTAGCAAATGCATCATGGGGGAACTGCTATTTACCTTCATATCTATTACATTTGGTTTTATGTAATCAGAAATGTTGATGCCCCTTACTGCCTTCCCCCCCATCCATCACTCTGAAAACAGTGTTGTGGTCAGTGAATGTAGTGCGATACAGAGAAGGCCAAATCCTGATAACTGAATGCCTCCAGGGAGACTAGAGCCAACATCGGCAAACTGATGTTTGCTTTTGAATAGCTCAGTTTTTGACTGCTTGTTTGTTGGTCACTGCTAGGAAATGGGCTGTAGATGCTTCAAGCCAGGTGTCCTAAAAGCAAGCCACCCTAAGTGAGAGGCTACCCAGGAATGAGTCAGCACGTGGAACTATTCTAGAGAATGAGCTGCATGAGATTTTGCACCCCCACCCAGCTCCTCCTATATTTCCCATTTTATTAATGGAAAAACTGAGGACCTCCTAATATCAAGCCAAAAATAAAATCCAGGGCTGCATTCAGACAAGCAGGGCCATGCAGCATGAGACATTGCAGACACGTCTGCGGCACCACATACTGCATCAGTTCTCCGCCCTGCAAGGGAGCCGGGGGGGGAGTTGACCCCTGGATATCCATGGGTTAAAAAAACTCGCGGGGGGAAAAAAAAGCAGAGCAGCGCACACAGGGGCAGCATGCGCTGCTCATAACCGGAGCTTTGCCAGCCAGAGCCACGCTGCGGCTGTCAGCCAGGCTCTGTGCACCAGGATCATCACTACTGCTGCCCTGGGAGGCCCCCAGGACCTCAGGTAAGGCCGCTGAGGCCAAGTCAGTTCTGGCCCCAGCTTCCCCTACCCCACCCAGAGTAACTTGCCTCACGCCACAGGGCATGTAGCATGGATATTCCCCAGGGAAAACTAGCGGCAGCACAAGGTGTACTGCCGCTACTTGTCCCCTGGGAACCAAATGTCCGCACGTGTGTGGAGATGGCCCAGGAGCCCAATCTTACTAGTTTGCACCTCCAAGGGGTGCTCTCTGGCTAGTACAGGCAGGTATAATTTCTAGCCAGCGCTGCCCTTATACCCCCCACCTCTGATCCCACTCCCACCCTAAAGCGATAAGGAAGCCAAGACAGTATTAAGAGCAGAGGCTCTACTTACATGAGTGTGCTTTCCATAGTAGGGATAGTACATGAGATCAAATGTTCCACTTTCTGGATAGAAGTCCACTGATTTGAGATCACTCACATTGCCTTTCTGTGATTCAAAATAGGCACATGTTTAGTACATGGGCTGTACAATACAGCTTCCTTCAGAGGAACAATAAGGAGCTTTCATAATTGCCTCTCAAAACCCCCAGCACAAAAGGACTGGGGTATTGTCACCTACTTATACAGAGCATGTTTACTATTAGAACCAGCTGCAGCTGGGATGAGTCAGAAAATAACTGCCAGATCATGAAAGACAAAGTATATTTGCCACCTATAAATCTGTCACTGTGTTTCATGGTATCGTTATTCCTAGCTAAGGGCCTGATTCAGTGCCCACTGAACTTGGGAGTCTTTCCCACATCCTAAGTGTTGGCAAGGCACTCAGCACCACCCAGGCCAGACGAGCCACAGGATTCTACGGGGAACAAAGTACCCTTAGTGGAGGAGCAGGGAGCTGGGAGGGCTCAGCGCAACAAGACGCAAATGGCAGCTCATACAGGATCAGGCTAGGGGAAGCAA